TCTGAACTGAACTGGAAGCCAGTGTAGTGATTTGAGCATGGGAGAGACAAGATGATATTTACATACTCCTATTCGGAGCCTAGCAGCAACATTTTGGACAAGCTGCAGACAAGAGAGTAAAGACTGACTAATTCCTGAATACAACGATTTACAGTAATCGAGCCATGAGGAAATAAATCCATCAATTACTTATTTGAGATCAGAAAAGGGGAGAAAAGGTTTAACTTTGGCTAGTGCTCTGAGTTGAAAAAAGCTAGACTTAACTGAATTAATTTGTCTATCAAACCTAAAATCACTGTCAAAATAAACTCCCATATTCCTAACACAAGGTTTATAATAAGAAGCAAGAGAAGAAAGGCAGGTGTAACTACTGTAACAGTCTAAGAGCAGTGTAATCTATGCACAGTCACTGTATGTGGTCCACTTACTAAAGAATAAGTTGTAAACCAACAAAAAATGTCAGACAGTCTGAGATCTGGTCATTTTGGATACACATCACACACATTCTGTCAGTCTACTGACACACTGCTAAGTAACTGTCACTGTCATTAAATGAGTACAAACCTAATCCGTGATGGACTAACGTGAGCTCAGACATTATTGTCAAACTGAAAGGTTGAAGAGGAAATGAAAAAACCTTGATTGTTTAACTGAACAACTGCATTTGGTCAAAACATATACAGTTTAGAGGGCTAATTCATTTAATTATAATGTGCACCCTGCCTCTGAAGACAAGCAGAAAATAGAAAGAGTATTTGGAAAAGGCTCAGTGCAGGAAGAGAGGATAATAGAAATTTGTGCTTCTAGAAATCTAGTCTAGTCTGGGCTAGTGTTACACACACATTTGTACTTCCATCTTTGTGAGGACACTCATTGACAATATGCATTTCTTAGCTCCTTACCATAACACTTAACTATCAGAACTAAATGCATAATCACAACCCTTGTGTTAACATTAGCCTAAACATAATTCTAACCTGAACCCTAAGCCGAGTCTTTACCCTCATAAGACTGCTTCAGAAAGTGAGGACTGGCCAAAATGTCCTCACTTTCCACAATACTTTTTTGGTCCTCACTACATAGCAAGTATAAGAACACACACTAACAAAGACATGCATCAACCTATGCATTTGGGGTGTGTGGCTACTAAATTTTCTTTGACTACTGCTCAAGCAAAGTCCCTTAATCTACCACAGACTTCTTTTCTTTTCATGACCTTTGGCGTCTACAGTACTTGTCAGCGCCTCCCTTTAATGAAGCAGTTAGAAAGAGGCAAAGACTGCAGCCTTTGTCAGTTTTATCCTCTGAGAAACCTTTAATGAAAAGGTCAGATGATGGAGGCACACACAGAAAACCCCTTTGTCTATGAATGTTGCAACAAAATGTTTGGGATTTCATTAAACTACATAGCATGAAACTCCCACTCTATATCTGCACTAGCAGACCGTTCTCTTCTGTCTTTGGATATATGAGCAGTCTGACTGGATTGCATCAATACTCTGCAGGATTTTCCTCAGCAAGTGACCATGACCACTTCTGAATCTGACTTCAAAGATGAAAATACAAGCAATTCTACTGTAGATACTCTGGCCACTTGTTTCGTTCTGGCATATTTAAATGATATTGGCCACATTAAAAATAGCCAAGTGTAACCACTGAGGCTGAGAATTTCTGAGTATCAATTTTTGATGTGTGCAAATTACAGTGGAGAGGCCTGCAAGCCATCCAGAATATAAGTGCCACTCTCCCAGGGGCTGTAAGAGGGGGAAGGTGCATTGGAAAGCATCAGCGCATGAGAAAAATGGAAGTGCTCAGCAGAGCCCACTCCACTCATGCACCCACACCCACACATACACCTTGATAATCTTTATTATTCTTTTGTTCTGTCTCACCACTTGCCCTTTCTCTGTATGATTTTCTGTCATTAATCAGAATACCTACGCATGCAGCAAAGTGTCCTTATGCAATCTTTCACCCTGTCCTCCTCCTCAGGGTGCACGTCATCCCTTTTCCTGATCTCTCCCTCCTATTTTCTATGTGTCCTTCCCTCCTAAGCCTATTTTCTCTGGACACCCTGTTTGACTTCTTTGCACTGACCATGCTACTTAAACTAGTGCACATGCCAGGCTTCACCCAGCGACATCATTGCCAGTTAATGTGCAGAAGCAGCACCTGTCTCCCTAATGATACAGTGCTCCCTGCTTATGCTCTCCTTCTCTGTCCCTCTGTCTTTTTCTTACTGCAGACCTAAGATGAATTTGCTGATAACACAACCCCTCAGTTCCCTGTTCTCATTCTGGTGAAACTTGTGGCGATACACATGCCCTTGACCATTGCAGAGGCTGTTAGTGTGTGCGCACGTGTTTTTCCTGAGTCTGCACATTTATAGCACCCAGGAAACAACTATAGGCTAAAGGCACCAGTTGGTTCAGGCTGAAGCAGAGTGTGTCCATGTGCACAATCAAATGTGTTAATTTAAAAAATGTACATAAATCTGTACTATAAAACCAACCTCATCAAGTACAGTGTCTGTTCTCTTGTCTTTGTTCCAGTTCACTCCCAAATGTGCAAAAGTGTAATAAAATTTTCTAGCATATTCTGTGCTTTTAACATTTTGATGTGCAAACCCCATTTTGAGGTATCTGTACTTAAGTATTTAGATTTTGTGCTACCTCATAATTTGACTTCACCAAATTTTAGAGACAAATATTGTACTGTTTAATCCACTACATTTATTTTATAACTTTAGCTACTAGTTGCTTTTATAGAACTAGATTAACACAAAAAGTATACAGTATAATCGTAAGACTTTATTGATCTCTGGTGGAAAATTCACAAGCTACCCATCAGTCATTCAAATTATAAGCATACATGCTAGTAAAAACTAGCTCTGCCTTTACCAGCTCCAACATTAAATGTAATGAACACAATAATGCATCAGTAATTCTAATCATATGGTATACATTAATTTTAAATGTGCCATTCTGTATAATGAGTACTTTTACTTTTAGTACTTTAAGTATGTTCAGATGCTAATACTTTTGTACTTTTACTTAAGAAGTAAAGAAGTAAAGTCACTTGTGCAGGATGGCTCCTTATAGAATGTTGTGTTTTTCATACAGACAGGTGACTGGAACATTAGTGATTCACTGACATAATTTTAACTAATTTAGCTCACATTCAGTAGTTTAATTCTCAAGAGTGAAAGAGTTATATGCTAAACGTGGTAAACAAAATCCTGAACTGAAAAGTAACTAGCAACTAAAAGGTAACATATTACACTTTGAATTGTAAAGGAGTAGCAGTAGAAATTACTGTACAGTAAATACTTAAGTACAAAAAAAAAGCCGCAGTATTCTGCAGATTTCTATACTGAAAAGCTGCAGAAAACTGTAAAAAAACAAACAAAAAAAAAAACAACTGCAAATTCCATTTGGGCCTGCTAATCAGGACACTCTGATGAGGACAGAGTCTATGGGGGCCACCTGGGTGACACTAGAGATCTGCACCGGAGCTGGTAGCCTTAAACAATCTCTATTTCAATGAATGCTTCTGTACTGGTGACATCTCATTAGCTACTTTCATTCTTTCTACAAGACCAAGTCCTTCAAATATGTTTTTGCCATAAAGGAGCTGGAGCATGGAACCAGACCACAGTTAAACTAATACGGCCATGTTTGTCTGGAGAGCTGATGACGCTAATGTGAGACTCATCTGACCCTCCAGTCAGATTAGTGTCTGGAAATAAATACTGACTTTAGTGTTTAAAAGCTGCTCCCGGGGATGGTTCATGGTAACTGAACACTCACAGCAGAATAATAAATATAGGTGACTATGGAGAACGATAGCATTTGCTGCTGATGGAGTCTTATTGTATCATCATTTTACAGTAGGACTGGGAGGTATTAAATTTAAAACCAATAACAATTAAGACTGCTGTCACAGGAACCATACGGATGTTCATCTAGCAATAGGTACGCTGCAGGTAACTACTGACTATGAATTTTACACACTTTCCTGATTTATTTTCATGTAGTGTATTTATTATTCACAAAGCATAAACAGCTGGTGCAGGAGGTTTAAAGGTACATTATGTAAGATTAGTGTATATGTAGTACAACCAGCAACCACAATACAATTACATAAAATTTGGATGTAAATTTATAGATAGAATACTTTATGTTAGAAATTATGGAATTGGCATTCTACTTTAATTTACCCTTATGTTTATCACCATGTTGTCTTGTTAATAATAATTGTTTTAAGAATCGAATAAAATGTAAATACATCTTAGTAAATGTAAATAAAACATGTTTCATTTGTGTTCAACAAGTTCTATAAAATATATTTACTATACTGAGCTGCTACCTTGTTTTTATGAATACAATTAATTTGACTGATTATTTTAGTGACAGTCATTTCTGTCCCACTGCTCAGGCATGCAACAAGAAATCACAAGACTACAAATGGATAAAACAACACTGTGTCCAATTACTGTTGTGTTCATGGCTCAAAACTATCATATGCTTTGGCTGAATTTAAAAAACAGCTTTTGTTATAGTCTGATTAGTTCAAAATCTGTCTGTGATGCTTTTCAAACACAGAACCAACTGTGTTCATTAGCAACCAGGGGCAACCTGGACCGGTAGCTTCGGTCCTCGTTAACTAGAATGACGTATAATGGATGCTCATTGCTTTTCGACGACAGATGCAAGCAGCAAATGCTGAGATGCAAGAGGAACTGATGACTGTTGCTGTTGTATTAGCAACTATTGCTCTCACCCCATAATGAAATCCTGGTGTAACACTGGCAGAGGTGCTTTATCTCAAACTCCAGCTGCTGTGGATTTACTCATTTGCAGACACAAATATGTTTATGTGTAATAACATTCTTGGATACTTGTGCATCAACCCTATTTTACCAATGTCATTGTGGCACTGCTGCAGAAAATCTCATTTTAATTCAGCCAGCTGGTTCAACAGACCTGTTTAGATCTTACCTTTGTCCAGGGAGGCGTCTGGAGAGCTGAAGTCCATGAGACGACTGATTTCAGTCTTGCAGCATAAGTCAGTGGCTGGCGGCTTCTGTCTTGAGTGGGGAGACGGATCTGGAACAAATAACAAACTGATGTTACTTAACAGCTGAAACATGAAGAGATTTATAAGTATAACAAAAAAAATGGAGGAATTCAGTGTTCTAGCTAATTAGATTTGAACTGAAGTGTGTGTAGTAAAATCATATAAATCTTTTGCCAAAGAATACCAAAAAAGAGTTTATATTTGACATTTTTAAATATCTGTACTTGTATTTCTGTGTGGGTTATGTTTGCTGAAGTATGCAGAATAAGACTTAGAAGTGCAGTTGATGCTGTAAAATCTATTTTTAACAACTATTAAAAACTAAACAGCAATAGCGGAATGGCAGAGGAAGAGAAAACCTGCGCATACCCGAATTGCACAAATGCCTGATATATTTTTTAATTTGATTTGATTTATTTATTCTTTCAAGCATGTAAAGACAGTTGATATATCAACACACATCATTTTACACATATCCAACAAATGCTAATTAAATATCAATTTGCTTATACCTAGTACATGCTTGAATGGAGTAGGAAGAATTCAGACTTATCCAGTCCTACCCCATGACACCATCTTACCATCATTGGTTTGCAAGCAGTATCTCTACATAAATAATTATCTTCTACACCACACAAGTAATATACTAAAGAATTATAACAGAGTGTTAACATTCGTACATAATTACATTCTTAAATACTTATCTTCTACACCACACAAGTAATATATTAAAGAATTATTACAGAGTATTAACATTCATACACCACACCCACAATGTTCCATCTAATTAATCATTAAGCCTGTTCTTACATATATCTTGATTGACACATACCTTTATATTTATGCTTAAACTCGTCAATTCTATTACTATTTTTTATGTCCACATTTAAATTATTCCATAGTTTTAC